CCTACGTGTGTAATTTTTGCGCCTACGGGTATATGCAGTAACGCACTAGGTGCGCCTACAGGACGCACACGACGCACAAAGGCAATGCCAAGGCGCCTATGGGTCAAGACACGCTCTTTGTAAATAATTTTCTGGCCCTTTTGGGTCTCAAGAAATATGAAGGAAAGAGAAAGGAAATGGCATTGAAAGGAAAGAAAGAGATAGGATATTAGAAGAGTTATTCTGGAGTGTAAAGTGTTAGAAAGAGACAGATGTATTGTAAAGGTGAACGAGTGAAAAGGACAGACATCTTTTGTAGAAGAATAATATGTTAATAAATGCCTCAGCATAAATAGCATTAATATTTATAAGGATTTTTAAAACTCTGTTATCTCGAAATATATAAAAATATGTATTAAATCAGGAATTATGCACATTTAGAATTAATCTATACTCTTTTTGACAATATTTCAAAACAAATTTGAACCGATATTTACGATTATAATTAAATTTAAAAATACCTTCATTTGAAAAGGTTTCTATTGTATCATAAAATTGTACTAAAATATTTAAATACGAAATATAGTCAAAAAGATATAAAAAAAAGATTATTCTGAACACTGCCGTTATGTGCATACAGGATGTTTCGTAATTGTTACATCTATATATGTATGTTTAGATTTAAATAACAAAAATATCTACGCTTAATTATGGTATTAGGGATGATCGATGGTAGAAAACGGTAGAATATTAAAAAAAAATATTGTTCTAATTTTAAAAAATGATCAAAATAACGTGACTTTAAAAATAAAAGTAAATTATGTTTTGATCTTTTTGTAAAACATCGATCATCTCTAAAATATTAAATTTTATTAAACTATATTTAAAATTAAGGATTTGAATCGTATTTCGTTAATTTAATATTTAGATTTAAAAATAAGTTAAAAATCGCTATCTCTTTTCAATCTATCACAAGATGACAAATGACGTCAGAGTGTTTTAAAAATTGGACGATTTATAAAATCGCATATAAAGTGTTACCAGTGATAAACATTGAAATACTAAGTGATTCAGTGTTGACAGTTAAGTGACAGTGCCAGTCGGCATTAAAATTGCCAGTGTTGGACAATTGGTAAGTAAAAATGACTCCTATGTAGACTGTCATAAGACATGAATTTCAGATTTTACACCATTTTAAATTAACTTATTTCTTTTCAAATTAGAAATAATGATAGATTTTTTTGTCCATTACTTTTAAATGACTTTTTTTGTATTATTGGTTGAATTTATTGTAAAATTTGCATTTCAAAGATATGTTAGTTTACATAGGAGTATTTAATATAACAGTATTATTAATATTTTGTGAAATTAAGCTGGTTAATTCGCCATGTTTTTAATTATGGGTAAATGTGCCATACTCGTAAGAGTTCCCGCACTCAACTATCAATAGATTGAATTAACATGAACAATAAAATACTTGCAAACAACTTACTTTCCTCTCATTGGAATGTATTTATTTTCCAACAGCCTTACAAATAAATGCAGCTTAAATTTAAACTTAGAAATAAACTAAGTTTAAGCAAAATTTGGACTTATATTTGCTTATACTCAGTTTATTCCTAAGTATAACTTTATACTGCGTTTATTTGAAAGGCTGAAAGAGCCATGTTTAAAGCCGCTATTGATGACTAAGGTTTTATAGCCAAAATATTAAAACAGAGTTATGTATGGTCAATACATAATGTTGATTTAGCATTTAACTGGCTGATAGGGCTAGTAATTCATTCGAGTATTAATATTATTGACTAAAACACTAGGATTTGCTAAATTTCGTTATAAAATTACTCTGTTCTGAATTAAATTACTTGCTAATTGAAAATTGTCTGCGGGAACTCTAAAAGTTGTAAGTCTTCCAAGACTTTGTGTTCTGGCTGACGAAAACATAGCCATCTCTTTCTAACTTACAGAGAGCAATGTTTCTGTCCTTGTCATACAACTTAGAGGCACTTTGATTTTATTACCGTTAAACGGTAAATAGAATTAATGGTTTCCGATATTTGATTGCATGAACCAAATCCATCCTTTCAAGTTTTCTATACTTGTTTTTGCATTCGATTTGATCGACGTTTTTTTAAATTATTTATATTTATTTGAATATGGATTAGTTTAGGAAATTTTTCTAACGTAAAATACTTTATTATATTTAAAAAAATTGTTAAAAATCTTTTTCAAAGTGCTTCTCAATTACATTATTTTTGATGTTTTAAGATGTCAGTTTTGTTGTAAATTCTTTAACTAAGCTTACATGTTTACATATTGTATATGTAAAAATAAGATTAACATATCTTATTAATAATTGTGCTTTTATTCAATGTTGACGCAAAATATTGGGGGGAAGCCTAAATTTGCATTGAAAAAAAATTGAATAAGATCTGTATAGGTTTTAGCACAAAAAAGAGTTTTCATAAATATACAATTAAATAACAAAATCATACATTCCGTTCCAGCATTTTTATGAAACAATCAACTTTCATTCACACGAAAAAGTACAATTAATTTATATTTGGTTAGAAAAGCTCTTTTTTGTGCATTATTTGTAATGTCATTTGGAACAACAATTCTATTAGTATATAACAACTGTTATATGTATTATATAATATTCTTAAATGTGAAAACTTTTAAATTATCTAATATTTAAGAAAAAAAATCATTCGTTATAGAAACTGGTTATTTCCAGTTCATCTTTTCAGTTTTAAAATGCAACATTTATGTTAAAAAAATGAAATTGTCTTTGGTCAACACAATATTGGATATGCTACGATATAAAAAAAAACAATTAAAAAGTATAATAGCATCTTATTGGTATAAAGAATTAAAAATTTCACTATTTTCATACGTAAGGGCTCACTATGAAAATATATGAAATTGTTTTATTCTGAATGAACAGGAGCGAAGTCCATATTAAATACAGATAATAAAATACAGAGTTCAAGATACACTGGTCATTGTAGCTTATAAAATATTCTTCTTGTCCAAAAACAATTTATTAAAACATGCCGCATTGTCTCAAAGAGATTTTATCAATATGATATGAGTGTTTAGAAAATCTATGTGAATTTTAAATTTTTAAAATATCAATAAAGATCTTTGACCGAAAAATCGGTTTCCAGATTTCTAGAAATATAAAGAGACTATTATTTACTGTAGTTGTAATTCTATTTAAGATGAATCTATGTTTTATTGTATGTATATACTCGTACATACTAAACAATCACAAATAAACCAAAGTTGTATTCCAACAATCTAAAAAGAGAATTGGTTGTTTAACAAAAGAATGTATTGATATATGGAAATAAATAATAATATAGGTGCTTGAATTTCATTACAAACTTACCCATTCTACCCTTTGTCGATGCATTTTCGTGTGATTTAAGAATTTGGTTCCTAAATAAAAATGCAATTCTTACAAATAAAAAAAGACTAACAGTAAATTAATACTTTATTAAATACGTTTTCTCTTATAAATAATCTCAATTTAACCAAATAATGCATATTAAAAACAAAATGACGGTGACGTTTAGTTTTTCCCGCGCTGCGTCTGACGTTGGCATTTCGTTGAGTCGTTCGAAAACATGCGCTTGAGTGATGTTCTGCGGCTGTTCAGATTCCGGTTCCTCTAATGTCGGAGTTATGTCTGTATAATCTGTTACAGGAAGAGTTCGTCCAACTGAAATCAATTATTATAATTATTAAAAGAAATATCAATTCAATTTAGATTTTTAATGAACGTAAAATTTTATTAGGCTCATATTTCAATACAAATTTCCACCGATTTGAAACTAGCTTTCTCCCGCGATTCTGTTCGCTTGAAACTTAAAAAAAATAAAAGTAAGTAGTTCTTCCGGAATATCCTCTACAGCTTTACCAAATTTCATCACGAACTGTTTAGCAGTTTTAGCCACAAAATAACATACACCCATCTAAACTTTCGCATTTATAACATTAGTAAGATATTACCTCCGGGTTCAGTCGCAAAATGTAGCACTGCAGATGTTTTACTCCATCCGAATCTGAAAATATTTATTAGTTAACTTCGGTAACGTAGTATTTTGAAAAAAAAAATGGTGTTAGTCACATTTTAGCGTAACGATTTTATCCCACGATTTCGTACGGTCTATAGCGATTTTAAAAAAAATATCAATATGAGGAGAAAATTACTCTAAAATACCAACATATTTCTAGAAGTAACTGTAGCTTCGTACACAGTCGACGGCGTCAGTCCCCTAACTGTATAACTTGCGCTATGGATTGGACCTGAAACAAATAGATAAATACTAAATAGTACAGATTTTTGATAAATCGCAAAACAAATACCAAAATTCAAAGTAACGAAAAAAGTATTTAACAGCTGTTCCCAAATTAGCCCGCGTAAATTAAAAAAAATAAAACACATTAAAAATATTTCATAATTTCTTAAATTGGTTTAGAAGTTTTTGAGTTTTTTCAACTCATATACAAAAAAAACAAATCTTTCCTCTTTATATTATTAGTAAAGATAGAATCTATCCTATTCCTGATAGTCTACAAACCATCAATGGAGTCTCCAGGCACCACAATCTTGCTCCAGAAGTAGCCAGGTCCAACTGTTGACAAGGAGTCGGCATCCATAGGAGAACGACTTCCGTAGTACGGCCGGATCCAAAGGTTATATTCTAAAAAATATTACTTTGCTAATTTTTAAGTATATTAGCTGTTGCTCCCGACTTCGACTCGACTTTCGACTTCGAAATCAAAAATTAAAAAACGTAGCATTTTAATGGTGAAATAGTTTATGAAATCGGTCTAGTTTTAGAGTTATTTCAATACATACAAAACACAAATCTTTCCTCTGTAAAATATCACTAACTTTCGCCCGAGCCTTCGTCCGCTGGAACTTTAAAAAAAAAGTAAGTAGCCTATGTGTTCCAGATTATCCTCAACATCTAGGATAAATGAGATCCGTTCAGCAGTTTAGACTACAAACATGTAAATTCCGCATTATAATATTATAAATAAGATTGAAAAATGTTTAAGGTAATTTTCAAAAAGAAAATATCTTACCAATAATTGTTGAGTATGAATCCACTTCCCATATAAGTGTGAAACTGGTTGATGTCGCTTTATTTAGCGCTGAATCGACTTTAAATGATGCCACGTTTGGAACACCTGAACAAAAAATACGTAATATTTAATATAATTGTAACTAACAAACACTCAGACCTACTGATCCCGCCAAAATAGCGCGCTACGCCATACGTCTGAATGACATTGACAGCTGTCAGCTAGGGACGTCTATGCCGATGTTCTAGTGTTGCCCGATTTTCTTCTTAACACTATGTTTTTTACATTAAACTTGTATTTTTAAGTATTAAATAGTAATTACTCACCAGTTAGTTTAAATGAAACATCAGCCATCCCTAATTTATTCTCAGCTCGGAACGTATAGTTCCCTAAATCGGATTTCCTCACAGTTCTGAATATTAACTGATGTGAATTCTCATGACCCATAATAATTATTCTGAAATAGATGATAGAAATAACCGTAAAAAAATTACCGGTAAAATTACATAGACACATCTCTAGGTTAAGGATGTACTTGTTTCAATGATTTCGATAAAATCGCCAAATACTTGTTAGGTTTCTGATTTTATACATAAGATATGAGAGAAATAAGTAACTAATGCTTTATTATGACTTTCTTTTACATACAGAGCGTTTAGTTCAGAATTATAATGCTCTATTTATCAATAGTCAATCCCTTCTATTTAAAATACATTTCTTGCATAAATAGAGAAAAAAAACATGTTAACTCAGTGAAGTTTTTTTGTAGAAAAAAATTATATGTTACTTATGCACTAAATTCAGGGTTAATAGACAACCATAAACACAGCTCAGAGAAGACACCATAGATTAAAAAACTGTTTATGGAAATGGAATGTTGCCTTATTGTGACAAATTACAATGTTTACCTATCGTCAGTTTTGACCGGTTTTCCG